GCCGTGAGAACCTGAAATCTCACCTCAGTACGAAATATACGACGTACTGAAGATGGTCTTCTGGAAGCCTTCTGTCTCAATCTTCAGCTCACACGGCGTTAAATTCCATTTGTTGTCATGCATCATTCATACAAAATGTAAAAAGTAGATGCATAATGGAAGGCTCGTGTTTTTCCAGCTATTTAAAAATTCTGTAGGCTTTATGTTTAGTTTATTTGATGATATTTCAACGTAAATTACTGATTTTTTTGAGAGACAACATTCTGAGGCCTGAGCTTACTTTAGCTGTTGATTTACAAATATTTCACACGGATTTTGTATGTCTTTGTGGTCTCCATATCATAAAATTTTAAATGATTAACTCCAATGATGCATCAGTTATCGCCAAATAAAACCAAAACCAAATTACATGCAAGAGCCATGTTTTTTTATATTTTACAACATTACCTAGAAGATCTATTACCAAACATACAGCGTCCTATAGTAAGTTGCGCTAATGTAGCTCCCACCTCACAATTCGCACGTCCATCATATGTGGTTATTATTAATTTTAACATGATCATAATTACGGGGTTAGGGAGGCCTCATTGCTATATGTTCATATCTGATTTTGTGAAACTTCTTTGCTATGTACTCTGCATACAACTAATATGACAATCCAGCACTAGCTTTTAGAATACTGAGGTTAGGAGGTTTAACGTCAGGGAGCTTACATACCTACTGAGCAGCTGAAGCCGAGCGCAAAATAAGTCACGTGTTCACGGCGTAGTGTTGTTAACATTCTGAGCATATTATTACTTCATACAAGGCTTATTGATTGCCTATTGAGCTGGTACGTTTTATTGGTATGTATGCTGCTGGTGTATCAAGTGTAAAATTGTTTTCCTGTATGTTCACCAAGTATGAAGATTTATCACTGACATAACCTCACTCTGGTGTTACTGTCACCGTTATGCACGGATTATCTACCCGTTAGGTGTGAACTTTACCTCCACCATTTTACCATTCTTGTCCAATCATATCCTTTACGGTAGCCACACAAATGTACAGTAGTGCCAAGATAGAATAAAAATAACCAATTACCGTGATATTTTCGACCAAGATTAGATTAAGTTTGTGTTAATTTACTTCACTTCATGCAGCCTTGGAATAGCGTTAATTTAGTTTAGTGTACTCAAGTCTACCAGTGGACCACATTTATTAAGATCCCCTTTTTTATGTTGCACTGTGTAGTCTTAGAAATTTTCAGAGGTGCATATTGCTTCCATTGTCAGGGCCGCAAGAACGTGAAATCTCGCATCCCTCATTCCTATTTCAAACAGAATGAATTAAAGAAAGCCCAGTCTTCATTAAATTAAAAATTTACAAGACTTTTACTTGATGTATGTTATTCATTGCCCTGATGTGGAGGCATCAAGCACCTCAGAAATGATAGTAAACTTCTATGAAACTACATGGAGCAACATCCCAGAAGACAGTCATCTTCATACTCATTGCTGTGAGAACCTGAAATCTCACTTATTCAAAAAGTTAAGAATTATGCTTGAAACCTTGTTCCTATTAATTGAAATGCAGAAACTTGGAAATGGCACAAATCTGATATGTTGTAAGTTTACACAAGTGGGAATTGATTTTACAAAAATATAGGCTACATTTTTTGGTCTTTATAGCTTGGAAGCATCTTGAGGAAAATAGATGCTTTAAGTGTAGGGTGTGAGAAAGTGAAGTGGGTTAATCTAGCTCAGGCTGGGGTCCTGTGGGTGGCTCTTATGACCACAGTAATGAACTTCTGGTTTCCGTAGAAGAGAATTTCTCAATTAGCTGAGCATACTGTTAACATTTCAAGGAGGATTCTGCTTCATGTAGTTCGGTAAGAAGGTAAAAAACTTTCATGCCAACATTTGCATCCTACTTTCTTTGTTTATCTTTGTTTCAGATACAGATTTATTATAATGGATATACAACACCCTGCAGCAACATTCAATTTTCTGAAACCAGCTTATAATCTGGTTATTCAGCAACCATCAAAAAATCACATTTTAAAACTAACGGAACTACTTCGCAGTGTTTCTCCTTCAGCACTTCAAGTACTGCAGGATGTATCTCTTTTTCCATTGCAGCTACAGCTGCAGAACATGCAGCTTGGGTAATTAGATATTAAGTCATGCATTTCAGGTGTGAGTAATATGAAATCAGTCAAGTTGTACCGTAATCCTACAAGAAAGTGGCTATGACTACACGAATAACGTGACTACTGTACAAACAAACTGGTAGAGGTCAGATAGTAGTTTTACTTGGGGGTTGTATGTAGCTACTTTGAAGTGGCTGCCAGCCAGAGGCTTGCAAAATAAATTTTGTAGTTTAAAACTTCTTATATTGCTTCAAAATATTTGCACACACTCCTACTTTCTACGGTGAATCCACTGACAAAGTTAAACACATCACTTCCTGGCTTCTAGCAGGAACTGCATGACTCACCACCAAGTCCTACAAGATTTTTTCTGATATGAGTCAAGTATTGCTCCATAGAAACAACAAATTTAACTTCCTCATATTATAATAGGTACTGAAATGCAGCCCCTGCACATGCATATAATCTCTGTGCTGTTAAAATTATCCAAAGAAGTTCTCCTTTAACTGAAAAGACAACTGTTCCATAGGCAGACCTTATCTGGCAAGTGCCAGAAGGAAGCTTAAAAGCAGGAAGAACTGAAGTAGTACTGGGGACTTATGGCAAATGAGGTACATGGTACTACCTAAGCCTAGGAAGGCCCTGACCAAGGTGTCTGAAAGGCAAATGTCTGAGGGCAATGCTCTAGTTAAGAGGTTAATTCTCTTTAAAGACCCAGAGACTGCACTTCTGTGTAGATGAACTGAACCCAATGATAATTAGTAAACTTTCCCTTTTACCATACAATTTTGTCAGACTGGATTGCAATGTCTTAGACACCATAAGCACATTATTAAACTGACTAAACAATACATGTATTTCAATGGTATTTAAATATGTTAACAGGTTAGAAATAAAACGATATCTTGTGGATTGCATGAAGGAAATCTTGCAACGTACCCATGTATGTGATTTGAAGAAATTCTTAGAACTGTACACTATGCTATTCTTTCAAATCTATGACCAGAAGAAATCATGTTTAGGTGAGTTATTACTTTAAAATTATAAAAATTATATTTGTTATACTGTCATTGTTCACAAATATGAAATTTTTGACAGCTAAGTTATTATAAACTCATTGAAGCCTTGCACCATGGAGTTTGTTTCTTACAGTTGGAGATGTTCCAGAGGAACTGAAGCTTAGTGTTGTGGAATGTGTCACAAGTCTTCTGAAACAAGCATCTTCTGATGTCATCTGTGAGCTTTATGATAGGAAATATGCACCTAAATTGGGCCAGGGGATTTACATAGCCATCCAAATGGCCCAATGGGAAAAATCACGTCCTCTAAGGTATAACTTTTCAGTATTAATATCAGGATAATGCCCTACTCATTCTTGTAGTACGAGCTATAAGGCAGCATTTCCAAAGACATGTGTCTGTGTTCTGTGATTAAATCCAACAGCTTTACACAAACTGTTATTATTGACTTTGTGCGCTAGGCAATCCATCTTTTCCTTGAACACCACAAATCAGTCATCCTCTGGGTACATATCTGAATGCAGTTGCAGGAAGCCTGTTGTCATCAATCTGTGTTCATGTTCCATCCATTTTTGTATGTAGTCCTAATGTCATTTAAGGAGAACTTTTGTAATTTGTGTCTGCTTTTTGCAACTTAGTATAGACTTTTAATTAAGCATAAACTTTATCTTGACAGTCTGTGCACTGCTGATATCCTTTACTTTTGTGACAGGCTTTTTATTACCATATCAAATTTTAGGCATGAAGGTAAAAAATATAAAGTTGTCCTTGGTGCTTAACTAAGCATCGTGCCATGCAGAAGTGTGAAGATGTGGAGGTATAGCTCTATGCATTGGATGGAGGTTAGTTGTTAGCTTCATGCCCTGGTTGCTTTACCCTTGAGGAAAAACTCCTGGCATCTATTGTATAGGAGGCTGGATAGGCAACACAGCTGGTCTGAACTTTGGGGTGATGAGAACCATCCTGCCCTGCCAGGAATTAAACCCTGGTCATTCAACTCATAATGTAGTTACTGTACTGAGAACTATTCCAGCTCCTCGAGTGGCTTTAACTGTATAAAAATTATGTTAAAAAGTATGAAAACTTATCATCAAGTAGTTACATGCCATCTGTAATTATCAAGGAAGGTATTTAAAATTTGCTTCTGTTCATTCATGTATTTAATGTTAGGCTAGAACCTTCTTCTACCTTTCCACCATCTCATTCTTTGCCTTCCCATGTCTGTTTCTCATGGATTACATTTCATTATGCTCATCAGCGCTATTTCTGTATTCATTCCAGTGGTGCTAATGTTTTGTATTAGTCTGTATTAGTGAAGTCTTACCCCTACATTCCATTTAACTCAAATAAGACTTCTTACAGTTTCTCTGAAATAACTCTTCATACAAATGATGAGTATGTGCACTAATATAAAATATAGTTCTCAATAAGATCATTTTCTTGTATTTAAAATATTGTTCAAGATGCAAGTAAAAAACTGACTATCTGAAGTGCAGTATCTCTACTGGTAATTATTTTTGTTACCAGTAGTTTTGTATCTGTAATATATGAACATTAAAGCCAGCAAGTAATGTAAAAGCACATAGAACACATTTGGAAAACATGTGTTCTTCAGATTGGAGTACATATTTCCAGTCTTGTTAAATGGATATCATATTGTGCATGATTGTTCTTATTACTTCTTCAGTCTATCATTGCAAATATGAAGCATTCTTCATATTCTTTTATGCATAGGCTCGCAGCCATCGAGTGTGTGATGACCCTTGCACAAGTACACGGTGATGCAGACAGAGATGACATTGTTTTCCGACATCAAGTAGGGGATGTGTTAATGTTCTTTCTGCCAGGAATAGTCAGTGGTTTGCAGAGAATTGCCACTGATGATGAGAAGCAAGGACATCAGATAACAATGGTATTTGATTGCAGTCTTTAATTTGAGGTTTACCACTTTCTTCACTTTGTGTAAAAGAGAGCATAATTTATTTCCACCAAGAGGGAGTGAAGACAGATGTTTTGTTACATGCAAACATTGAAATGGTTAATATTCACACATTCTTGACATTTCCTGTTATCAGTTGCCCGTATGTTGCAGCTTGCTGTTAAAGCGTGGGCAGAGACAGTTGCTGTTGTGATGGAAGACAGTAATTCCTCTGATGATTTGGAACATTTCAATATGCAATTCAGAATAAATCCCACCACAACTGTCTTACAAGAAGATCCTTTAGTAACCAAATGGGAGGATTGCAGTAAGGAATCTATGTTAAAGAGTCTACAAGAAAAGAATCGCACCCCTGAATGGTATCATGCTGCTGCAGAGAAACTGGCTGTTTCAGCAAAAGCTATTTGCAGGGTTCAGCACCATTCCCACTGGAAAGTGAGAATGGCGCTGGCATCTTCTTGTCACTTACTGCTGTCTAGATGCTGCAGGTTTGGTTCTTGTTTCTGTTGTTTGTTTGACAATTCATGGTTCAAGAGAAACCTAAGCCAAGTATTTAGTACTCCTTCATAATTGCCAGGTCTCAGGTTCAGATCTCAGTCCAGAGACTTGCTGTCCTAGGTTTTTCAGGGTTTTCCTCCATTCCTTAAGGCAAAAGCCAAGATTGTACCTTAAACTAGGCAACAAATGCTTTCATATGTACCCTTTACAATTCATTAACAGTCCTATTATACAACAATATATAGTCTGAGCTACTGACAGTATCATTAAATAAACCACTAATAACAATAAAGAGAAGCGTGGCATCCATTAAGCCACTTTGATGTAATGTAACTTATGATATTGAAACAGTTTAATTAAATATGCAATAACATATATTGTCTTTATATTTTTAATATGTATTTTATGATAGCTATATTTCATTTTGCAGAAACCTGAAGCCATGTGTAATGTACCTGATTGAAATGCTCATAATGCTCTCTGAAGATGAGTATGAGGATGTTGCTGCAGCAGCCACAAAGGGACTGCGGTTGTATTCTGAGAAATGTGAAACACACTCTGGAAAGTCTCTTCTAGAAATCCTAGAAGACAACTTCTACAACTTGGTGACTAAACTACCTAGGATTCTTCATGGAACAGGTCAGTATATGCACCAAAACTTTCTCGCCTCGCCTTCCCCATTAATACATTTGAAATTGTTGTTGCTAACAGTTTGTGATGAAAAGTTGGCAGTATGGAAATACCTGCCAGTAAACAAAACTGCTTGAAGCCTATTCACTAAACATGAGATCTGTAGTTTAAATGAAAGCATTTCACTGATAGGATTCAGAAGAAAAAACTATGTTTGTTTGACATGATAATGAAAGGTAAATGTACAAATAGTGAATTAATATGTGTGTGGCAGTACTGAGTATGTTATTGGATGCCAAACACAAAAGTGAAGAAGTTGAGATCATCAAGGGTGATCCGTTTCATGTCATTGCTAGTCTTCCAGTAGGCAATGAAGTCCTCATTCTATTAGATGACCCATTTTGGAAACTTAGATATTTCATTTATTAATGTGTAGAAACCAATTATATTTATACTTGTGAAGTTCTCATTCTAAAGGTTTGATTTTTAATTTTAGTGAAATATATTCCCTTTTTTCTTTCTTTTCTTTCTTTTGTGGGGTGGGGGTTGGCAGGGGATGAATGTGTGGTTGAGAACAGTGTATCATATGGGAGGTCTTAAAAATTTTATTTCTGCAGCTAATCTGTTTTTATGCCACTGACACCACCATGGAATAATTTAATTTTGATCTTTCAGTTATCATATATCAGTGTTTTATTTTTAAAAGCCCCAACAATATATTTTAATCTAGAACTTTCTTTCCTAAATACAAAATATACAATTTGTGACTGCGAAGAGTGTATCCCAATTAGGCATCTTAAAAATATCATCTTTGCAGTCACAGATGTGCTGCTGCTGAGTCACTTTGATCTGTTGCAAGTTACGGTTAGCTCCCTCCTCCTCCAGACTAGTGATAGTCGTCTAGCATGTGTATTAGTTCCTGTCACCACATTGAGGTAAAACCTGTGAGCAGGATGGGGGATAATATTAAGATTGATCTTAGGGAGGTGGGTTGAGAGGATACGAGGTCAGTGGGACTGTATCAGAATCTTGTCCAGTTGTCTGAACATTCAGATTCTAGTACAAGGAGGTCTGGCAGTTAGTCAGTTAATGTGTTATTTGGTGTAAACATAATCAAGTCATTATATCGTAACATTGTTTGCAGATGATGTCCAGCAATTATCAGCATTGAGACTATTGTCAGGCTACATAAAACTCTTAGGGGTTAGTAAGCTGCCCCATCTGTTGAGCTCAGTATCTCATCTAAACCGCCTGATGTGGACTCTGATTCAAGCCTTTGAACTTGATAATTCTTGTATATCCCTGCTAGAAGATTACAGTTTAAGAGGTATTCATTAACATATCTTTCATTAGCTTCCTACTTATGAAATGAGTACAGGTTAACACTTGTGCTATATTAAATGTGTCATTAAAACTTTGTCTATTTACATTATAGAGGTACATAATTGATATGTACAAGGCTTTCCTTCTAGCAGTGCACCAAGGTATGTCACACTTGTACATTTTTCATGAAATGTGAGAATAAAACAAGTTAATAAAACTATATGTTCTAATAAGTTTCTAATTTTCATTTTTAGAAACTTAAAGGATGACTAGGATGAGGAAAGGATGAATTCTCATACAATTTTTGTGGGAAACCTGTCCTATATATTTTCGTCCATTAGAACAAAGTCTGACTTTGTTAATTTTTTGGTGGATGGCTGGAAAATGTTATCTTAGTTATAATATTGTAATATTCCTTGTGTGTTAAAACTGTAGTTGGTGGCTCTCTGTTTTTTGTCATATTTCCTGTATTGACTTGTTTCTTATACATATTACATTTTAGATTTAGAAGTGAGTCAAGTAGAGGTATGGACATCCCCATGGAAACAGTTCAAATACTTCACAGATCACAGTATTCTAAAGAAAATGGAAGATGTATGTTGTATGCTTGGTCAGTATGGAGATTTAAGTATTATGAGCTATCGCCTACTGGACATTTTTCACAGTAACCCATATAATCGTAAGGAAATCACATTCCTTTTAAATGAGATTCTGTGTGGAGGTAAGGCATTCTTCTTTTGACTGTTACTGTGTTCTTCCATATATCACGTGTTTTTTTAATGTTTGCATAAACAATTGTATGCTCATCATATTTGATGATTTGTTGCGAGATTTCAGGTTCTCTAGGCAGTGAATTTTAAGATGGCTGCCTTCTGGGTTGTTGCATCATGTAGTCTGGTAGAAGTTTACTGACTTTTCATAGCTGCCTCTGAAATGTTGGTAAACTTCTACCAAACTACACTGTGCAACAACTCAGAAGACTGACAACTTCACTGCAGTTTGTTGTTTGACCACTGTGGCTCTGATTTTCATTATTGTTTGAATTAATGTGAACATTGAGACTGACAGTTACGATTATATTGCTTTGGTAGGATCTTTGAGTACGTGTATTACATACTAGGAATAAAATGTCTTTATGCCTGTTCTACACAAACTGAATGCATAATGGGGAAGTCATTTTTGTCTGCATTTCTGTTCATTTGTATGTTTCATGTCCAAAACAAATGATTTTAATGAAATTTAGAGCAGGGAAAATTATTTTGGACTGTAAAACAGTCTAAGTTCACCATACTTTACAGGAAAGTGAAATAAAATGTTATAATCATATTTCTAAAAAAGGCTCATACAAAACTGGATACATGACTTACAACAAAATCTCAGTAATACTTGAAACATTTTTCAATAGCAAAATAAACAGAAGAAAAAATGCATGTCCCTTTGTGGTATAATAGCACTGTTGCTTTATCAGCAATGGAATGTACAACTGTGAAGTGTGTTGCCATTCTCTTGTTCAGTCAACAGTAGATGTGTATCCATGATAAATGAACCTAAAGACCAATAACCTATGCAGAAATCACACGACATGCATTTTGAAACTCTGTACTGAAGTTTGGAGTATACATATCCATTCCAATATTTTTTAACACTCATTCATGTTGTCCTGCAGGTGCCTACAGAGAAGATACAAATTTAGAAGACATTATTAGGGAAGTTTTGCAAGTGTACCTAGAACCATCCATTTGGTATGTGAGTCTGAGTGTAGGGACCCATACAAATGAACTCCAGGAAGAGGTATCAATTACATTAGGACAAGCACAGAGCAATGTCATACAAGCCTGTTTGCTTGTTGAAGGAGTAGGAAAGATGGCCAGAGTTCTTGGTTCAAAATTTGATCAGTTTCTACTAAAGACATTGTATTTGGTGTTAGAACGGGCTGGCAGTGCAAATGGGCTTGTTGTTGCTATCAGAGACATAAGTCATGCGTGTGGCTATGGCAGAGATGTTACAGACTTGGTGCAAGCAAATGTTGACTACTTTTCATATCATGTGACCTTCAAGCTACGAAGAATGGAACAGAATGCTGGTGTGATGGATGTGTTAAACATTGTTATGAAGTACAGTTCTATGGATGTGTTGCCATGCTTGGAGGATATTGTTAAAGATGTGAGTACATTTTGGACATCTAGTATTGTTAGGGTAGCCACATGAAGAAGGTTATGATGCATCAAGCATGCAGCTTGTATGGTAGACACAAACACATACAAATTCTTGGTAGGATGACCTCTTCGGAAATCATAATTTGGAAGTGTTTTGCAACCAGTGGTCTGCAGAACTCTATTTGTTCATGGCTTTGTTTATACTACTCCACAGTCTGTTAGATGTATTTTAATTGTGGTGTAAAAATTCCTCTTCAAAACTACCAACTTTTTGTTTCCATTGTAAGACTAAATAGTTTGTGTTGAAAATTACTGCTAATTTGCAGAGACTTACTAGGTATATCATATGTGATTACTTTTTTGCCACTGTCTGTGTATGTACATACACACAATGAAACTTGTCAGTAATGGAACCTGATGGAACAGGGACTTTTTTCTGTTGTAGGCAGGTTTCGACTTAATCCAGACAAGATTTTTGTACAGATATATACCCCATACACAATACTGTATTTATCCATCAACTTTGTGTCCAAATCTAATATTACACTTCTCTTGGATGCCCTGGTTCAACGAAATGAAGAGGTAAAAACCTTTTGATTATTATACCCTTAAAGGAAATTACAAGTTGCTAGCTAATGAACATAAATGAACTGACAGTTGACAGTGGTAGGCATGGAACAGGTGTGTACCTGAACACAGTGTTGAAAGTATAGGACTGGACCAAATCATGTGAAAACAATAAACAGACACAAGATTAAATAATTTCCATCCTGTCCTTGCTTTTTGTTTCCACATGAAACAGTTTCCATTTATTACATGTGATGTTTTGTACTGCATTCGTTGGACCACAGAAATTTTACAGTAAAAACAAATTTTTATTTCATCCAGGTTCTACACTGAAGATAGGTGTCACTGTATATACACATAAATAAAATAAAACATGGAGCAG